CCCTACTTCCCAAACTGACTTCCTAAAAAAAATCACTTCAACCCTACCCGGGGTTTACCCGGAGAAGTTCCGGGGGCAACCCCCCCCGGCCCGGGCTGAGACCAGGCCACATCAAAACTACAAAAATTTAAGGAATAAGATGTACTAATCATTTTTGCCTAGGGAGCTTTATTCGAGTAGGGGGGAACCAGGCGGATGCCAAAAACCCCCCACAAGACTTTCTACAAACAAATACGTAGGGGGCCCCCCTTATACGGCGGGGGTTTGGTTCCAGGGTGTCGCCCGAAAGCAGACACACCGAAGGCGAACGCCATTTTTTTCCCCCTTTTTAAAAGCATTAAATGCCAGACAACAAAATTTCCACTAAATTAATTAGGTTTAGTAAAGAATAGGGATTAAAAAAAACACAAATTTTTTTTTTTTTTTTTTCAAAAGTCGGGGCCCTCTCCCACCGAGGCAGGGTGACCCAAAAAAAAAGAAAAAATCCCCGAAAAGAAAATACTTTCACACATTCAACACTTTTTCCCCCCTCACACACTATCACTGCTTTTTCAGAGGCGCCCAGAAAAACAACAGTTAGAAACAAATACGTAAAAGATCACAACATATCCCCCCAAAGCCAAAACCCAAACCCCCCCTTTTAAAGTCAGGCATTGTACTTCCCCTTTCCCCGGGTCAAGTCCACTAAATTTTAAAATAACCGGTTTCCCTGAACCCTTCACTAAATATTACCCTGCTCACCTCCAAAAATCTCAGGGCCCAAGTACATTCGCTCCATTCATTCCCCACCTAACAAAGCTCATCACCTTGCTGAAAGTCCCAAACCCCTTCCCACAAAACCTCCCTTTTCCTCCTCTTTCCCAACCCCTTTTAGGGAAAACCCACCCCCCTTCCTTCCCCTATAATTTATAACTTTTTCCCTGTCGTTTTACTTTGATCCATTTTTCTCTAATACCAAAAACCCCTCACAACCCCTCTTCTGCCCCCGACTAATGCTTTTATTAACTCCACACCTCCTCCCAATTTCCACACTCCAAATTTTCTGCATAATGTTTACACCACACTTCCCTTAGACAGGACTCTCCACTGCCCCAACCTCTCCTTGCTCTGCATTTTCCACCCAAGCTTCACAACCATAAAGAGTGTTGGTATACAGTGGACCCCCGCTAACGATATTAATCCATTCATGAGGCTCATTTTATCGAAATTTTTCGTTATGCGAATGAATTTTCCCCATAAAAAATAAGGAAATCAAATTAATCCGTGCAAGACCCCAAAAGTAAGAAAAAAAAAAATTTTTCTACATAAAAATACATTTTCCACCACAAAAAAGGATACATCACAAAAATAGAGTATACAGCACAGAAAATTGTGCATGTACACTCTACAAATGAAAAATAAATGACACTTTCCATATTGAAGAAGAGCAAGACTGATGAGACACTTGTCCTGGAGTGCCTTTTTCCCCTGAGTACTTAGCCGTTTTTTGGGATTTTTTTCCAGAACAGGCCTTATCACACTTGTATCCACTACGAATTTTTTAAATCCCCAAACCAAACCTTTTCTGGCTTTTAAAACACCATTGAGCACTAGTTTCCCGGCGTTTTTTTCCCTGTTCACCGGGTGTTAGTCGACTGGGGGGGTTCCCTCCTGGGAGACAAAATTAAGGACCCCAATGGAAATAAGTTAGACAGTCCCCCATACACACTTTTTGGGGTTTTCCTGGTGGGTAACCCTCGGGGGGAATTTTTTCTTTGGATTCTCAAAAAGCCACACCAACAACGGGGCTACAGCAGCAGCGCAGCGCAGCACGCAGCGACAGTGTACAGCAGCAGCAGCAGCAGCTGCAGTGCAAAAGCACACACAGCTGACATGCTACCAGCAGCACCACACTGACAGTGCTACAGCACAGCAGACGAGCTACAGCACAGCAGACGACACGCAGCAGCAGCAGCAGACGGTACTACAGCAGCGCAGCAGCAGACGGACTACAGCAGCAGCACCACAGCTGACAGTGCTACAGCACACCAGCACTGACAGTGCTCAAACAGCAGCAGAGACATCTACAGCACACAACAATGCACAGCACAGCAACGGTTTCTACAACAGCAGCGCAGCAGCAGCGCAGCTGACGGTGGACAGCATAGCAGACGGTCTACAGCAGCAGCACAGCTACAGGGGACAGCACAGCAGCGTGACAGTGAGCAGCAGCAGCAGCTACAGTGCAAGCACACAGACGATGCAAAAGCAGCAGCAACGTGCTACAGAAGCAGCAACGGAAAATACCAGCAGCAGCAGCAGACGGGACACAGCAGCACACACTGAGGGTACAGCAGCAGCAGCTGATGGGTACACACAGCAGCAGCGCAGGGTACAGCACAGCAGCATCGCAGTTGACCTGGTACCACAGTATTTCGATAATTTTCTCACCCTTTTTACCCCAGGGTTGGGACAAAGCTTTTCCCTTGGGGGCCCCTGTCCTTATTTTTCAATAAATCCCCAAAAAAAACCCGTAAAATACGAAATGTTACGATTGTATCTTGGTTTACCGCGGAGGCTGGCTTTTTAAACAACACCGCGAAAAGTGAGGCTGGCTCAGGCCGCACATTAGAAAGCGCCGGCGAAAAGCTTTGAGCGGGTTTTTTAGCGTATGCGAGGGAAAAAATTAGGATAAAATGTATCGGTATGCGGATTTAACGTTATGTAAGGCCAACGGTATGCGGGGGTCCACTGTACTATACTTTCATACATTCCCTTCTTTGCCTCCATAGATAACGTTTTTTGACTCCACATATACCTCAACGCACCACTCCCCTTTTTTTTCCCTCATCAATTCTATGATTAACCTCATCCTTCATAAAACCATCCGCCGACACGTCAACTCCCAAGTATCTGAAAACATTCACTTCTTCCATACTCCTCCTCCCCAATTTGATATCCAATTTTTCTTTATCTAAATCATTTGATACCCTCATCACCTTACTCTTTTCTATGTTCACTTTCAATTTTCTACCTTACACACATTCTCAAACTCATCCACTAACCTTTGCAATTTTTCTTTAGAATCTCCCATAAGCACAGTATCACCAGCAAAAAGTAACTGTGTCAGTTCCCATTTTGAATTTGATTCCCCATAATTTAATCCCACCCCTCTCCCGAACACCCTAGCATTTACTTCTTTTACAACCCCATCTATAAATATATTAAACAACCATGGTGACATTACACATCCATGTCTAAGACCTACTTTTACCGGAAGTATTCTCCCTCTCTTCTACACACCCTAACCTGAGCCTCACTATCCTCATAAAAGCTCTTTACAGCATTTAGTAACTTACCACCTATTCCATATACTTGCAACATCTGCCACATTGCTCCTCTATCCACTCTATCATATGCCTTTTCTAAATCCATAAATGCAATAAAAACTTCCCTACCTTTATCTAAATACTGTTCACATATATGCTTCAATGTAAACACTTGATCTACACATCCCCTACCCACTCTGAAGCCTCCCTGCTCATCCGCAATCTTACATTCTGTCTTACCTCTAATTCTTTCAATTATAACCCTACCGTATACTTTTCCTGGTATACTCAGTAAACTTATTCCTCTATAATTTTTACAATCTCTTTTGTCCCCTTTCCCTTTATATAAAGGGACTATACATGCTCTCTGCCAATCCCTAGGTACAAAGTAAAATACCTTCACAATAAATTCATTACTTATCTTAAAGTATTTGTAATCTTAATGTAGGGAGAGAGTTGAGTAGTACTTATTTGTAGGAAGTCAGGTGCAGGTAGCCCAGGTGTAGGTAGCCCTGGCTCCCCGTCTCATACTTATTATATGATATTTAAAACATCCCAGAGCGGTAAAATACACATACAGTACACTCATTATTTACCTTAAAATATGTGTAGTCTTAATATAGGAAGAGAGGTGAGTAGTATTTATTTGTAGGAAGTCAGCACAGGTAGCCGGTAGTTGTAGCCCGCCTGGGCTACACCTACAGGCTACCTACACTGTGGCCCAGAGCCATATTATTAACATCGACATACTGTGTTCACTGAATTTAATAATTTCTAACAACTACCTTTAGATGCCATCATAAATGAAGGTAGAATTAATGAATAATTCATTCCGAAAATTGTAAACAAAAGTGGAGTGGGGGAGTGGCTGGGCCAAATGCAGATTCATACACGTTTTCTCTGATGGCTGAGCAGAGAAAACGTAATGTTGTCCCTCCACCCGGCTACCACACAGGTCCACAAGTATTATTATCAGAGCACACATAAAATATGCAATAAATGCCAGACAACAAGTTTACACTAACTTATATTAAGTTAGCGATAGAAATAGGCATTAAAAACACAATAAAAGGTAAGAGAGACACACAGAGTACACTTATTACTTACCTTAAAATATTAATATTAATGTGTGAGAGGTGAGTGGCAGGGTGTTTATTGAATAAAATCAGAATGGCACACCATCATCCTCTAACTTGGCACTTAATGTGGCCCAGAGCCATATTATTACCATTGACAAACCATGTTCACAACTACCTCTATATGCCAACATAAACAAAGGGAGAAGTAATGAATAATTCAAGCTGAGAATTGTAAACAAAAGCGTTCTGTATTAAAGGGAGTGACGTAATGTTTTCCCTCCGCCCGGCTACCACACCTCCATAGTATATAAACATGTTTATATGCTATGTAACATGTTTGTTATATAATTTTGAAGAAAATATCATAGATGGATCAATGAAAATGTCTATATTGATATAAAATTAGACTTTTAATGTGCCCAAGAGTGATTATTACACAATAGAGAGATGTACTCATGGAGAATGTAAACAAACCGGGTTGCATGCGCCGAATTTGAAAGACCACTTACCATATAGAAAGTTTTGGTCATAATTTGAGATTGCCATTTTAGCGGAATGCTGTAAGGCGAAACGCCGAAAAGCAGGGCCCTACTGTAATTACAATCAAACTTACCAGAAGTTATTTCAGGTCTGTCCTTCATCAGTGCCTCGGGATCAAAAGCTCCAGTTCTTAAAGCATAGTCTGTGTTGAGGGCAAGTGTATTCACCCAGTGTCCATGCCCTTGTAGTGTCCGGCACATTGTTCCCTGCAAAAAATAAAACAAATTTGTCTTTTGTATGATTTTTCATAATATGTATGTCTAATTCTGTAGAACTAAGGAGTTCCGTGACTCAAAGAGAATATGCATTGCTCCCCAGCTGCACAACACAAGTGTTAGTGAAACTAGTTGTCAGTGGTACACCATCAGACTACAAAAGACCATAGACAACCCTGGGTTATGTAATGAAAGTTCCATGATTGCACACAGATAACAAGAATCCATGAATAATCTGGTGTTGTTAGTGCTGAGTATAATGCCTCATACTTCCCTGTGTGTTGGCTTCATGTGATTACCTATTTGTAGCCTCAAAAACAGAGAGAAACTTATTTTACCCCATCTCTCTCATACAATTTTTACAAAATTTCCATTTGTTAAAGTATGTGCTACTAATTTTTTTACTACAACCCATTGCTCTTAATTTATTTTAACATACCAGCTGTCTCCCAACCAGGTAGGATGACTCAAAAAAAAAAAAAAACACTTTCACCATCACTCACTCCATCACTGTCTTGCCAGAGATGCACCAATACTACGGTACAGATGCCTTTCCCCCAAACTGCAATATCTCCACCCCTCCTTCAGAACACAGGCACTGTACTTCCCACCTCCAGGATGTTAAGCTAACCAGTTTCCATGAATCCCTTCACAAATATTATCTAGTTCACACTCCAACAGTAAGTCAAATCATAAAAACCACTAGTCTCTACTCACTTCCATCTAACACATTCACACATGCCACTTTGACGTCCAAGCCCTTTACATACAAAATCTACATTACCTCCTCCCTTCAACCTTTCCTAGGGTGACCAATACCCCATCTCCTCTCCACTACAGATTTATATGCCCTCCAAGTCATCCAATTTTGCTCTACCTTCTCTAAATGTCCAATTCATTTAAGCAACTCCTCCTCAGCCCCGTGGATAAGACTTTTAGTAACCCCACACCTCCTCTTATTCCCAAAACTTCAAATTCTCTGCATATTTACACCACACATTGCCTTCAGACATGACATCTCCACTGCTTCCAGCCTCCTCCTTGCTGCAACATTCACAACTCATGCTTCACACCCATATAAGAGTGTTGGTACCACTATACCCACATACATTCCTATTTTTGCATCCATGGATAATGTTCTTCATCTCTACAGATACCTCAATACACCACCCACCTTTTTCCCCCTCATAAATTCTATGGTTCACTTCGTCTTTCATAGACCCAACCATCAACAAGTTCACTAGCAAATATATGAACACATTTACTACCTCCTGTAGGTAGTAGGTTGGTAGACAGCAGCCGCCCAGGGAGGTACTACCGTCCTGCCAAGTGAGTGTAAAACGGAAACCTGTAATTGTTTTACATGATGGTAGGATTGCTGGTGTCTTTTGTCTGTCTTATAAACATGCAAGATTTTCAGGTACGTCTTGCTGCTTCTCCTTACATTTAGGTCATACTACACATACATATACAAGCATACACTATATACACCCCCCTCTGGGTTTTCTTCTATTTTCTTTCTAGTTCTTGTTCTTGTTTATTTCCTCTTATCTCCATGGGGAAGCGGAACAGAATTCTTCCTCCGTAAGCCATGCGTGTTGTAAGAGGCAACTAAAATGCGGGAGCAAGGGGCTAGTAACCCCTTCTCCTGTATAAATTACTAATTTTAAAAAGAGAAACTTTCGTTTTTCTTTTTGGGCCACCCTGCCTTGGTGGGATACGGCCAGTTTGTTGAAAAAAAAAAATTACTTCCTCCATACTCCCTGCTTCCAATCTGATATCCAGTCTTTCATTACCTAAATTTTTGTTACCCTAATCACATTGCTCTTTGCCATGTACGCTTTTAACCCTTTGACTGTTTTGGTCATATATATATACAGAAACTAACTTCGCGGGAGCAAAGTTAGTTTCGACCAAATTTCGTACTTTTGGTGTCATTACCATCAGGAAAAGATTCTCTATCATTTCATAAGAAAATTTTTTTTTTTTTCCAAAAATTTTACGACATAGAATGACAGTTTCAGAAAGGGGCTTGCGATAGTCAAACAGTTAATCAATTTATGCCTTTCAAGATGGCTACAAATTGCCTCGGGAATTATTGATTCCATGACAGTTTCAGAAAGGGGCTTACGATAGTCAAACGGTTAATCAATTTTTGCCTTTCAAGATGGCTACAAATTGCCTCAGGAATTATTGATTCCATAAATTTTCCCACTATGGAGGTAAGGCTTACTGGTCTATAGTTCAAAGCTAAGGACCTGTCACCTGCCTTGTAAACAGGCATTACATTTGCCATTTTCCACTTGTCTGGCACTATGCCAGTTTGTAGTGGTGATATATTGCGAAGATTAGCCAAAGGTATGCTAAGTTCCTCTTTACATTCCTTTAACACCCTTGCAAACAGTTCATCAGGGTCTGAGGATTTGTTAGGCTTTAATTTCCCTATTTGTCTGAGGACCATGTCACTAGTTCCCTCAATCGTGCATAGTTTATTATCATCCTGTTCTACATAATTTATTATTTCTGGAATTTCGCTAGTATCTTTCTGAGTAAAAACTTGGAGGAAGTAAGTGTTGACAAGTTCACACATTTCTTTATCACTGTCAGTGATCTGACCTGAGTTACTTTTAAGTGGGCCTATCTTGTCCCTAATCTTATTTCTGTATACCTGAAAGAACCCTTTTGGGTTAGTTTTTGAATCCCTTGTGACTTTAGCCTCATAATCCCTGTTTGCTTTTCTTATTCCTTTTTGTATCTCTCTCTTTAATTGAATCATATTGATTTCTTAACTGCCCATCCCCTCTTTTGATACGCCTATATGTGCCTCTCTTTTGACCAAAGAGATGTTTTAATCTACTGTTGTCTTTACAGCTAGCACTATGCTCTGAAACATGTCATATTGGCAACCAACACCACCTACCTGACCCCATAGTCAGGTCATCCCAATATAGCCCACTCAGGTAATTTCAGTCCCATGAAATCGGCTAATCGGAAGTCTGGGACAAAGACTTGATTGTAATTCCATGATGTGTTGAAACTAAGTGATTTGTAATTGCTGTTCCCAAGCTCATCATTAACCTCAAGATTATTAACCCTTAAACTGTCCAAACGTAGATCTACATTTTTTTTCAACATCTGAAAGTATGTAAAAAACGTAGATCTTTTTTTTTTTAAATTGAAAGCATGTAAAAAAACTTTGATCTACTTTTTTTTTTGTTATACAATGGACCCCCGGTTAACGATATTTTTTCACTCCAGAAGTATGTTCAGGTGCCAGTACTGACCGAATTTGTTCCCATAAGGAATATTGTGAAGTAGATTAGTCCATTTCAGACCCCCAAACATACACGTACAAATGCACTTACATAAATACACTTACATAATTGGTCGCATTCGGAGGTGATCGTTATGCGGGGGTCCACTGTATTTGAAAATGTGTAAAAAAACATAGATCTACTTTTGGAGCACTACGCATGTGAACGTAGATCTATGTTTGGACAGTTTAACCCTTTCAGGGTCCCCAGGCCCTCTCCGAGACTTGTTCTCAGGGTCCCCCAAATTTCAAAAAAAAAAAAAAAAAAAAAATTCTTATGAAAAGATAGAGAATCTTTTCCCGATCATAATGACACCAAAAGTATGAAATTTGATGGAAAACTACAGAATTATGCTCTTGCGAAGTTAGCGGTCTCGACGATGCTCACGCATTGGCAATTTTGCCCACTTTGAGCCCTATTTTTGGCAAATTCCAGTGTACTAGTCGACAAAAATCATAACTATTTCGCTAGAACTCCACTTTTTCTATCGAATGAGTACAAGAAACCACCCGTTTACCGATTTCAACTATCCAATACAGTGGTCAGAATTTAGCAATTTTGCCAATTTCACACAAATTTCAAAAGATGCCAATTTCCGAATGGGGTCCAGAATAAACATGAAAGACATTCTTGGCACTAAAATACCATTTCCTCTGTTCATTAGTCATGTCCCCATGCCCCTCTCACATTCTTTTGCTTTTCACTTTGAATTTTATTCTCACAAAAAAATAGAAGATTTACTGTTATGCAGATACTGCATTAGTGTAGAAATGATATAAATAATATCAGCACACTTGTGAAAGAATATTAGACTCACCAGTTGACGTGTATTGGACGCACAGCAAGATTTGTTTACTTTTGAACTTAGGTAAAAATCAAACATTTCTGCTACTTTGAGCTCAATTTCCAGGTACTTTTCATTGTAAAACCAGTCAAAATCATCACAATTTCAGTAATATGTCTTCCATTCTATAAAATGAGACCAGGAAAACTAGAATACAGCCATAAATACCATAAGAAAATGCAGTGCAAAGTCGCTGTTTTAATCCAAAAACATGGTCAAAGTTTTTTTTTTCTCATTACGCACTGTGTGCTGCAGGATTTTTTTTATACTGTGCACACTGACCACATAGACCCATTCTTTCATATGTAGGCCTACCAGCTTTCTCCCACTAGATTTGAGGGCGCTAGAATTTAGGCGCACTAGTACATCATAGACACTGGTGCGTAAGCCGTACTAGTACGGCCGAAACCCTGAAAGGGTTAACTAGTCATTCTTTGTTGGCAAGAACCAAGTCAAACTGTTTTAAAAAGCAATCCTGAACTATATCAAGAAAGTCACTAGACTCAAAATTTCCTGTCCAATTGTTCATTTTGAATTTTTATTCACACACAAAAAAGTAGAAAATTTACTTTTATGCAGACTACTGCATTATTGTAATAATTGTATAAATAATCTCAGTGCATTTCTAAACGCGCATTAGACTGGCCAGTTGGACACGTACTGGACAACTGACATTATTTAGTACTCTGAAATATTGGAAAAAGTCGAACATTTCTGCTCTTTTGAGCTCAATTTCAAGCTACTTTCAGTCCTGAAACTAATCAAAATCATCTCTATTTCTATAAGATATCTTCCATTCTATCAAATGAGACCAAAAAACTGAGAATGCAACCATAACAACCATACAAAAATACACTGCAAATTAGCTGTTTTAAACCAAAAACACAGTTGGTTTTCTCTTCACTCATTATGCACTGTGTGCTGCAGGATTTTTTTTATATGGTGCACACTTAGTGCATAGACCCATTCTCTCATGTCTAGGCCCAAATTTACCACTCACAGCTAATCTGAGTGAGCTAAGCTCATGGCATTATACTATGGGACCAACACTGGCTTCAAAGCCATGATACAATGGGACTGACTCTAAAAGGGTTAACCCTTCCACTGTCCAGACCTGCAATCTGCAACTTGTCCACACTGTCCAAGAATTTAAAAAAAAAATTTATATTTTTTCTTATGAAATAGTAGAGAATCTTTTTCGAAGGTAATAAAAGAGAAAGTATGAAATCTGATGGAAAATTGACGAAATTATGCTTTCACGAATTTTGCTGCGTCAGTGATATTGATGCATCCGCGATTTTGCCCAATCTGAGTCCTAATTTAGGGCAATTACATTGTTCTAGTCACCCAAATTCCTAGCTATTGTACTAATATGCCTTCCATTTTATCAACTGAGCACAAGAAATTGCCTAATCAGTTATTTCAACTGCCCAATAAAGTGATCAGAAATTGGTAATTTGGTCAATTTCACACAAATTTCAAAATATTCCAGTTTCAAAATGGGGTTCAGAATAAGCAATGCAAATAAATACAACCATACAAAAATGCACAGCAAAGTCGCTGTTTTAAACCAAAAACACAGTCACAGTTTTTTTTTCATTATGCACTGCATGCTGCAGGATTTTTTATATGTTGCACACTTACTGTATAGACCCATGCTCTCATATCTAGGCCCAAATTTACCATTCACAGCATATCTGGGTGAGCTGAACTCACAGCGTAATACTACTGCACCGACAGTGACCTCGACCTATAGTACTACGGCACGGCCAGTGTAGTAGCTCATATAGCTCAACACCATCAAGAAGCCCAGGAAATGTAGCTCAACACAGTAGCTACTCACATCTGAAGCTCTCCAGACCTTTATAGTTCTGTCTTGGGAGGCTGAGTACAGGAGGTCCTCACCACTCCAACGCAAGGCTGTAACACACTGCAGATGGTTTGACAAAACCTAAAACAAAGAAAACCAGCCTTAAAACAAAATCTAAGAAACTTGTACTGATTAAAATCAATAAAATTTAAAGTAGCAGAGAATTATTGAAATGAAGGCATAATCATTGCAATAAAAATATATTGATGCATCACCAACAAAAGAATTATAATATATATAACCTCTCTTGCTACATGAGGCTCCGGCAGCGGGAGCATTGACCCCCAGAACCCTCTCCAGGTCTCCAGGTATACATAACAGGGCACACTTTGTACCTCTTGTTAAGTATAAAATTCACTGTTACGCTTACCAAGAAACTTTGTTCTGCTAAAACTAACTCTCACTTTTACTATTTTCTCCTCTTTTTCATATACCTGCTCCTTATTTTATTGCTAAATATAGAAAGTCAGAAACCACTTGGATACAAATATAAAGCACAGTAGAAACTGTCTCCAGTATTATAACCGCTTATGTTTGACTGAAGAAGGCTGCTATGCAGGCAAAATGTTCTGACAATAAAAAAAGTAGCTGTGTTACATGTGTATTACACCCACTAGTGGGTCCTACTCCCATATGACATAATCTTCAGCTACTCATTTCTACCTACAGTATATAATAAATCTCTGACCCCATGCCTCTGCTTTTGGTTAAGGGACTGACCACACAATCTACTGTCTCCAGTGTTTGAACTGCCTGTATTCGACAAAACCAGCCTGCTGTGCAGGTTGAATGCTGGAATGTAGGATTATGCTGCATTTGTGGTCTACCTACCCTGAGTCTACCTGGAGGCTGTTCCAGGAATGAACGCCCCAGTCCTTGACCAGGGCCTGATCAACTGCTGGCTGTACACAATCCAATGTATGAGCCTCAGCCCAGCTGATCAGGCACTAACTTTAGGTTTCTGTCCATCTACCTCTTGAAGACAGCTAGGGGTCTAGTGGCAATCCCTCTCTTACAGTGCTAGTCACGGCATTAAGTCACCCCTTCCCCACACACACATACCAAAACACAAACACATACCATGAAAGATTATAATAATATATATTTGCACACTTAATGAGGTTTTAATACTTGGTGCTGTATCCTTTATGCTTAATCATGTCCCTCAGCCATGTAGGAAGACTCTCACACAAATTCTTGAAAGTTTGGGGTGGTATATTATTCCATGTCTTATGTAGAGCAGCCTCCAGCCGCGGGATGGAACTGATATCCTTGCCCAGTAAACTTTGTTTCACTACTGACCAGAGGTTCTCAATAGGGTTCAGGTCTGGGGAATTGCCTGGCCAGTCATTAAAGAACCTCACTTCACAGTCCTTAAGCCACTGAACTACAGATTTGGCATTATGATACGGTGCAGCGTCCTGCATAAAAACCATAGCCCCACACTTGTCAAACGCCTCAGGTAAATTGTCACACAATAACTCAAGGTAATTATACTGGTTCATATACTGGTTGTTGGGAAGCACAATGAATTCACCAACCCTCTGAGCACTGAAACACCCCCAAACTATGAGGGAGTCGGGGTGTTTGGTGGTCCCACAGGTGTAGCGTGGGTCTAGCGGGTCACTACCTCTGGACCGGTATACATGTCCCCTACGGTTATAGGTGATGGTGAAGGTTGCTTCATTACTCCAAAGTACTTCAGACCACTGTTGAGGGGTCCAGTGAATACATTTCTTTGCATAATCCAACCTACGTTTCTTTTGTGGCTTGGAGAGGATCTGTTTCTTAACCTGGCGGTGACTACTGTAGCCCAGTTCTGACACACGTCTGTTAACAGTTCTTACAGACACCTCTGAGAAAAGAAGTGGGATCTTTTCTTTCAATTTTCTAGCAGTTATCTTAGGTGTACTCTCTAGCTGCTTCTTTAACACAGTTAAGGTACTAACAGATGTCTTCTTCAAGGGCCAGGCGGAGGTTTGGCAAACGGTAACTTGACACTGCCACCAGCCTTGAAATGCTGCACCCAGTTCCTCACTGAACACACACACACACACCAACATTCTCCACTATATCTTTTGTCTGGTGCCCAGATTTGTGAAGCCCTATGATTTGAGCGATAGTTGCAGGTGTTCAAGACTTCCTTTTACCCATAATCAAACATGTATAGCCCCAAAACCAAAGAGAACGCCAGACAAAAGATAGGGCAGATGAGAGACAAAAGTGCAACACTTCCTCTCACCATGGCAGCCACGTGAGCACTGAGGAGTCACTGTGGAGTGTAGTGACAGGCCGTGAAATCATGCTAACGGCTGCTACCCGGCATAATGCACTGACTAAAAAAGGCCCCCCTGTATGGTAGGCCCTTGATTTTACTCACGGCATTATGCCGGGGTGCTCACCTGTCATAATGCGGTGACTAAAACTGTTTGTATGATGGGAGGCTGCTGAGCAATTTTGGGCCCCTGACACTTATTGTGTTCTCTCTTAGTGTACTCATGGCACCCCTGCTTTTCATTTGGGGTATGTTGCACTGTCTGCTGAGTCTTTTATTTTAGCAAGGAGTGATAATAGTGTCTGGTTTGCATCCTCCTTCTGAAAGATGGAAATTAGGTTTAAAATTAATAAGTGTGGCTTTGATGATATCCTTTTTGCTTGGTATGGACACTGCATTTTGTGTTGGAGTTTGGAGTCTTTCCAGCTGATGATGTGGTGACTTTGTAGTACATGTTGGAATATGACAGAAATGTCCTGAATGTATATGACTGTTCTTTCATGTTTGTTATTCCAGTATTGAGATTTCATCCATTCTATCCTATGTAAAAGGCATTACGTTATTTGCATAGTACAGTACTCCATAACCACGTGTGTAGTGCAGGGCAGCTAGAAATGTAACATGTGCTGCTGGTAAGGCAGCTGCTGCCACACAGTGCTGGCAGAGAATGCAGATGGTGCCACGTATGTTGTAACTGGTGGTGTCACATGTGCTGGTATGGCACCTGGTGGTTTTCAGGGATGCTACTAGTGCCACACATGATGTTGGACAGGTAGCTAGAGGTGTCATTTGGTGTTGGTAGGGTGGTGTCAGGGCTGTTTGTAATGTCAGGGTTCCTGGGGTGTACTGTGCCATGTTTACACTTCATACTAGAACTATATTCATCACTGTCATTTGAATCAAAACTTTCCCATTAGACACTGTGAGAATAACTGACTAAGGCAACCTTACCCAAAAGCTAGCAATTTTTTTTTTTTGTTGCCTGAGGCAGTACCCGACAACTCAAACAAATGACCTGAAACTTAAATTTGTGGTAATCAGCAAATTTGAAAGCAAGAACAATCATGAGTATGGTATATGTCATACACATCCTGGTCCCTGCATGTATGGATGTATGCCATACATCTTACACAGTTTAACCCTTTCATTGTCGAGACTCCTACTCACTAACTTGTTCTCAGTGCTGAAGAATTTAAAAAAAAAAAAAAATCTTATGAAATGATAATCTTTTCCCACTGGTAATGACATCATAAGTATGAAATTTGATGAAAAACTTAAGGAATTATGCTCTCACAAAGTTAGTGGTCTCGGTGATATTTATGTATTGGCGATTTCGCCCTATTTTCGGCCAATTCCATTGTTCCACTCAACCAAACTCATAGCTATTTCACTAGAACTCCATTTGTTCTATCAACTGAGTACAAGAAACTGCCCACTTACCAATTTTAACTACCCAATAAAGTGATCAGAAATTGGTAATTTGCCCAATTTCAAACACAATTCAAGTAAGGTCAACTTCAAAACAGGGTCCAGAATTAACAATACAGTGAACCCCCGGTATTCGATATTAATCCGTTCCTGAGAGCTCATTGAATACCGAAAATATCGAAAAGCGAATCAATTTTCCCCATAAGAAATAATGGAAATCAAATTAATCCGTGCAAGACACCCAAAAGTATGAAAAAAAAATTTTTACCACATGAAATATTAAGTTTAATGCAACAGAATAATTACAATAACAATAGAATGATAACAATAGAATAATTGACACTTACCTTTAATGAAGAGCTGGTGATGATTGATAGGATGGGAGGAGGGGAGAGTGTCGAAGTTGTTACTGTTTAGAAGGGGAATCCCCTTCCATTAGGACTTGAGGTAGCAAGTCCTTTTCCGGGGTTACTTCCCTTCTTCTTTTAATGCCACTAGAACCAGCTTGAGAGTCACTGGACCTCTGTCGCACAACAAATCTGTCCATAGAGCTCTGTACCTCCCATTCCTATAAGATTTGTCTAAAATGGGCCACAACATTGTCATTGTAATAGTCACCAGCACGGCTTGCAATAGCTGTGTTAGAGTGATTTTCATCCATAAAGGTTTGCAGTTCAACCCACTTTGCACACATTTCCCTAATTTTTGAAGTAGGCACAATGGATTCCACAACTGGCATAGGCTTCTCAGGGTTAGCCCCAAACCCTTCAAAATCTTTCTTAATTTCCATACTAATTCTCACCCTTTTTACCACAGGGTTGGCACTAGAAGCTTTCTTGGGGCCCATGGTGACTTATTTTGCAGAAACATGCACCAAAAACAGTGGTAATATGGAATGTACCGAATGTATCCTTAGATGCGCCCACACTGCCTGGCTTGTAAACACTGGCACACACGGGGCAGTTCAGGTCACACGTGGACACGTCTCATACGAATCGCATCGAATACCGGGTTTTCGATCGGATACCGAGGCGAAATTTTTGCGTTAAAATGCATCGAATACCGGATTTATCGAATACCGATGCCATCGAATACCGGGGGTCCACTGTACAAACATTCCTAGCACTAAAATAACATTTTCTCTGTTCATTAGTAACATCTCCAGGCCCCTCTTATATTATGCTTGCTTTCCATTTTGAATTTTTATTCACACAAAAAAATAGAAGATTTACTGTTATGCAGACTAATGCATTATTGTAAAAAAGTATAAATAATATCAGCGCATTTGTGAAAGCATATCAGACCCACCAGTTGATGTGTACTGAACATGACGTGATTTGTTTACTCTTGAACATTGGCAAAAATCGAACATTTCTGCTTTGAGCTCAATTTCAAGGTACAGTACTTTTAGTTTGTAAGCCATTCAAAATCATCTCTATTTCTGTAATAAATCTTCCATTTTATCAAATGAGACCAAGAAAACGAGAATACACTCATAAATATCATACAAAAATACTCCACTGTTTTAAACCAAAAACAAGGTTGCAGTTATTTTTTTTTCTCATTATGCCCTGTGTGCTGCAGGATTTTCTTTATACTGCACACACTGACCACTCAGACAGAATCTCTCATATGTAGATGTACCAGCTATCTCCCACAAGATTGGAAGCCACTAGAATTTTAGCAATAGTATTATGGGACCAAAAGCTGTAATATTACAGGACCGACAGTGATAGGGTTAATGAATAAATTGCTGCAATATGCATCTTTCATAAACAAATTGTTAGAGTATCATACAGTTCAAATAAAGCTTACCATTTCACAAGAACCAAGCTTGGTATTCCATATTCTTACATCGCCATCCTTTCCAGCTGATGCTAGTCTTGTGCACTCACCACTAGGTGTTAGATGGAGAGGTTGCCAGCACAGTGATGTGACCCACTGTTTGTGTCCAGTCAGTGCTCGACCCATCTGTTCCCCACAATAACAACCAGTGCCATTAACAACTGAAGACAACAATACTAGTTCAAAGCTGATGACTCTTAGTTAAACACTCAATAATTTGCACAGCAGCTTCATTCTAACAAAGAAATCACTGATACAACACCAAGCAGTGTAAAGCATATTTGACAATCTGATTAAATTATTAAAAAATGCCGAAGAAAATGCAGGAAAAGAGAATCTATCAAGGTAAAAAACTTAATAAAAAAAGTCAAGAATAAACCATAGTCTCTTGAGAGAATTATGAGCTGCAAAGTTCACAGCCTATATTGTGCTGGCTCCAGTGTGAATCTGAATAGAAAATAACTATTAAACACACAGAAAAAGTCAAGATGATCTACCATGCTCTTGGGGTGTGAGCAAGTTACCTTCAAAGGGATTCAGGAAAATAGTTAGCCAAACTTCAATTCTGGAGTGAAAAGTGCAGCACTGGAACTCCAAAGGATGAGTTGGGATAATGCATTTTGGAAGAATATTGGAATCGTGATTCCTGTTCTCTTCTGGATAGATATCTAAGGTATGGGTGATAAAGAACGTTCTTTCCTGTTTAGGGTTACCTGTGCCTTCATGGAAAATGGTCAAGTGTTAAAATCAATATGTTAAAAAGAAAAGGATATAATTCTTCAACTCCCCAACTAGTAGTACAGGTCGACCATCACTAATCCGGCAATCAGTTATCTGGTTCCATCAGTAATCCGGCACTAATTTCAGCTAGCATAATTTCAAATTTCATCATTATACTGAATCAGAAACTATGCAGATGGTTGCAAACCCACAGCAACAAGCCAGTGGAGGAGAAAGCAGTGATGAAAATGAGGAGATGTAGCAGAAAGAATCTCTATTGATAGGTTAATTAAGTGTATTCTAACCTAACCACTCTGTAATCCAGCAAGCTCACTAATCCAGCACACTACAGGTCCCAATGATGCCTGATTAGTGATGGCCAACCTGTACATCAATAGTATTGCCATCTAAGTGTGCATGCACTATAATCAAGTTAGATAACAGAACATTAACAATAATGAACTGAAGATACTGTACTGTAGAGCCACACTTATACAGCAGGTCAGGTTCTGGGCTACCGATGAAAAGTTAAAATTGTTGTAAAGTGAATCATAGCCCTTTTTTTTTCACTTTCAAATACATATATAAGCTTGATAATATATTTACACTATCATACATTAAGAGAGCAATATAGCTAGTCCTAAAAAGTGCAAATTCAGTACACACATTACCTTCCTTAATATATTTTTTTGTCCTTAGCTTATAGTGAGTGGTGAATGTATTTAATGTAGGAAGTTTGAATAAATTAAGAATGGGTATAATTGAAAACAGATGCATTAGCAAAATGCCATAAAGTGGGGTCCTTCTGTATTTTCTTTGTTTTTAAGTGCTTGAACATTTAGAAGCTGCTAGCAGTGTATGCGAGTGAAGTAGTTATCCAAGTGGGCTGCTAATTTAGAGGACCAGTGCTTAAATGAGAAGGTAGTATTATTTCTAATTATGTGAAGCCGGTTTCCCTGGCACATGTGTATCCCCGAAGGGTTGTCATAAACAACCAATTCCTAATTATCTAGCAAAATTAGTGAAAGATGTTGACCTAGCTTTCAAAGTTTAAGATTAATTCCCAAGCCCATGATTGGGTTGAATCAGACACTATTTCAGCCCACACTTTACAATTAGCTGCCTTTGCACTGCTGCTAACAGAGTCCATAAAAAAGTAACAGAATACAGGTCTCCTTTCTGTCAATGCAAGTCCAGTTTGTGTGAATTTGCTATTATGTGATGTTCTATTTCTACTGAGAGTCCTGCATGTGCAATATACATTCACCATATACAATCAGTATGGTTTGGAAAGTGTACTGAAGATTCTCATGGTGTAGAATTAGGTGTTGAGGGGTTGATCAAGCTTAGTACAGCTGCTGTGGCCACGGAATACATCTATTGCTCAGAAGAACTGGAACAGTAAAAAATCTTAATATATTCCTCTTATTTCTGCTCCAACAGTTATATATCTGCAACTACCTAACACAAGTATAGTACATATTCAACAGCATAAAATACTTGAACATAATCCCACTAGAAATGTAAGTAATCAGTAATATAATATCAAAATGCACATTTAATTCAATTTACTTCATTTTTTTAACACACTGACCATCTCCCACCAAGGTAGAGTGACCCAGCAAAAAAACACAAATTCCCCTGTCATTCACTCAATCACTGTCTTCCCAGAAATGTGCTGACATCACAGCTCAGATGACCCCTCTGAATTGCAATGTTCCCACCACTCCTTCAGAGTGCAGGTACTGCATTTCCTGTCTCTGGGACTCAACTCCAAACTGGTTTCCCTGAATCACTTCATAAATGTTACGTTGCTCACACTCCAATAGCAAGTCAAATAATAAAAAGGACTTGCCTCCACTTACTCTTATGTAACACACAACAACCAGTTAGATATTCAATTCCCTAGCACTCACAAACCTCCCTTATCTTCTCCTACCAAGGTAGAGTGACCCAGCAAAAAAACACAATCTTTCCCTGTCATTCACCTAATCACTGTCTTTCAAAAATGTGCTGACATCACAGCTCAAATGACCCCTCTGAATTGCAATGTCCCCACCACTCCTTCAGAGTGCAGGGACTTAAATCCAACAAAATGATTTCCCTGAATCACTTCATAAATGTTACTTTGCTCACACTCCAACAGCAAGTCAAATAATAAAAAAGACTTGCCTCCACTTACTCTTATGTAACACACAACAACCAGTTGGATATTCAAGTCCCTAGCACTCACAGACCTCACTTATCCTCTCCCTCCAGCCCCTCCTGGGAAGTCTCTAACCCTCCTTCCCTCCACCCCAGATTTTTATGCTCTTTTAGTCATCCGATTTGTCTCCATCCTCTCTAAATGTCAGACCACCTAAACAATCTCCCCCCCTCCCTCTGAATGATACTCTCGGTAACCCCACACCTCCTAATTTCCACTCTTTGCATAATATTCACACTTCACATTGCCCTCAAACACAACATTCCACTGCCTCCATCCTCCTCACTGCAAAGTTTAAAACCCATGCTTCATACCCATGGTTAGGCACATTTATAACTTTATGTACTTCGGATCTAAATAATATTGATTTTATGTACCTGTGTTATTTACCGCAATGTTGTTTACTTACGTAAATGAATCACTTGTATGACTCATATTACGGCCACCGCAAAGGCTGCTTATTAGGGGGGAAACTAAAAATGACTTTCTATCAGCTCTAGTAATATAATAAGCAAAGAGCGCGCACACGCACGCACACACGCACGAGCATGTGCACACACACACACACACACACACACACACACACACACACACACACACACACACACACACACACACACACACACACACATACAAATTCTCTAAACTAACTTGGAATCCCTTAGGGTACATAGTGTACTTTCTGGAATGAAGAAGAGATGCACATTTAATATAATATACAGTGGTACCTCAACTTACGAGTGCCCCAACTTACGAGTTTTCCAAGTTACGGGCAGTCGCTCGGTCGATTTTTTGCTTTGAGTTGCGAGCCAAAATCCAAGTTATGAGCGAGCTTCAGATATGCCGCCACTCACAGGAGAGGGTATCAAATGATTTAGATAAAGAAAAACTGGATATTACATTGGAGAGAAGGAGTATGGAAGAAGTGAATGTTTTCAGATATTTGGGAGTTGATGCATCAGTGGATGGGTTTATGAAGGATGAGGTTAACCATAGAATTGATGAGGAAAAAAAGGTGAGTGGCACGTTGAGGTATATGTGGAGACAAAAAAACGTTATCAATGGAGGCAAAGAAGGGAGTGTACAAATATAGGTGTGAAGCTTGGGTTGTAAATGCTGCAGCGAGGAGGCGGTTGGAGGCAGTGGAGAAGTCCTGTCTAGGGGCAATGTGTGGTGCAAATATGTAATTTGCAGAGAATTCGTAGTGCGGAAATTAGGAGAAGGTGTGGAGTTAATAAAAGCATTAGTCAGAGGGCTGAAGAGGGGTTGTTGAGGTGGTTTGGTCATTTAGAGAGAATGGTTCAAAGCAGAATGACATGGAAAGCGTATAAATCTGAAGGGAAGGGAGGTGGGGTAAAGGCCGTTCTCGAAAAGGTTAGAGGGAGGGGGTAAAGGAGGATTTGTGGGAGAGGGGCTTGGACTTCCAGCAAGCGTGCGTGAGCGTGTTAGATAGGAGTGAATGGAGATGAATGGTATTTGGGACCTGACGAGCTGTTGGAGTGTGAGCAGGGTAATATTTAGTGAAGGGATTCAGGGAAACCGTTTCTTTTTATATAGCCGGACTTGAGTCCTAGAAATGGGAAGTACAATGCCTGCATTTTGAAGGAGGGGTTTGGGATATTGGCAGTTTGGAGGGATATGTTGTGTATCTTTATACGTATATGCTTCTAAACTGTTGTGTTCTGGGCACCTCTGCAAAAACAGTGATTATGTATGAGTGAGGTGAAAGTGTTGAATGATAATGAAAGTATTTTCTTTTAGGGGATTTTTTCTTATCGGGCCACCCTGCCTCGGTGGGAGATGGCCAACTTGTTAAAAAAAAAAAATTCTTTTTAGGTCACCCTGCCTCAGTGGGATACGGGCGGGTCATTAAAATCAAAAACAAAAAATTACTTGCTTACTCCCTTAAATTAAAATATTGCATATTAACAGAGAAGATACAACAATAAATGAGGAGCTGAATATTCCACACAGCAAGAGGAAAAACTCAGTAAAGTAAGCATTTCATGAGTATCAATTTATATATCTCACCTGTTTTCCTGTTTTGGGATCCCAAATGAAGATTTGTCCTGCTTTACATCCAGAAGCTAAACACACACTGTCTGGGGACCAAGCTGTCACCAACACCCAGTGACGATGACCTGTAAATACAGTGCTAGAGTGAGGCATAAGCTAAGTCAGTTAGAGCTTAGGACCTCACAAAAGGAAGGGCTCTATCTCTATGCTTTTACTTAAGAGTATGACTGCATAATATTTTTTTTTGTATCTTTGCCAATGTATACATTTGCAAAATTAAAATGAATGTTTTGTTTCCTTTAAAGTAATAGGTTGGTAGACAGCAAGGAATTATCACTGTCCTGTCCTTTGAAATTGTAGGCTGTTAAATTTCTTGCATTATGATAGGACTGCTATATTTTCTTTCTGTATCACACAGATAAGTTAATATTACAAACCCTCTACTAACATCCACTATATGTTTTATATTCCTGTGTTTCTAAACATGTATTTTTTTTTAACACATCAGCCATTTCCCACCAAGGCAGGGTGGCCTGAAAAAGAAAACGTTTCATCATTCACTCCATCACTGTCTTGCCAGAGGAGTGCTTTACACTACAGTTATAAAACTGCAACATTAACACCCCTCTTTCAGAGTGTAGACACTGTACTTCCCATCTCCAGGACTCAAGTCCAGCCTGCCGGTTTCCCTGAATCCCTTCATAAATGTTACTTTGCTCACACTCCAACAGCACGTCAAGTCCTAAAAACCATTTACTTCCATTCACTCCTATCAAATACACTCACACATGCTTGCTGGAAGTCCAAGCCCCTCGCACATAAAACCTCCTTTACCCCCTCCCTCCAACCTTTCCTTGGCCGACCCCTACCCTGCCTTCCCTCCAATACAGATTTATACACTCTCAAAGTCATTCTATTTTGTTCCAACCTCTCTATATGTCCAAACCACCTCAACAATCCCTCCTCAGCCCTTTGGATAATAGTTTTGGTAATCCCCCACCTCCTCCTAATTTCCAAACTATGAACCCTCTGCATTATATTCACACCACATTGCCCTCAGACATGACATCTCCACTGCCTCCAGCCTTCTCCTTGTTGCAACATTCACCACCCATGCTTCACACCCATATAAAAGTTTTGGTATAACCAAACTCCCATACATTCCCCTCTTTGCTTGCATGGACAAAGTTCTTTGTCTCCACAGACTCATAAGTGCACCACTCACCCTTTTTTCCTCATCAATTCTATGATTCACCTCATCCTTCATAGACCCATCCGCTGACACATCCACTCCTGAATATCTGAATACATTCACCTCCTCCATACTCTCTCCAATTTGATATCCAATCTTTGGTCACCTAATTTTTTTATCCTCATCACCTTACTCTTTCCTATATTCACTTTTAATTTTCTTTTACATACCCTACCAAACTCATCCACCAACCTCTGCAACTTTTCTTCAGAATCTCCCAAAAGAACAATGTCATCAGCAAAAAGCAACTGTGACAACTCCCACTCGGTGTTAGATTCTCTATCCTTTAACCCCACACCTCTTGCCAACACCCATGCATTCATTTCTCTTACAACCCCATCTATAACTATATTGAATAACCATGTTGACATCACACATTTTTGTCTAAGGCCTACTTTTACTGGGAAATAATCTCCCTCTCTCCTATGTACTCTAACCTGTGTCTCACTATCCTAGTAAAAACTCTTCACTGCTTTCAGTAACCTACCTCCTATTCCATACATTTGCAACATCTGCCACATTGCCCCCCTATCCATCCTGTCATATGCCTTTTCTAAATCCATAAATGCCACAAAAACCTCTTTATCCTTACCTAAATACTGTTCACCTATACATTTCACTATAAACACTTCGTCTATGCACCCCCCTACCTTTCCTAAAGCCTCCTTGTTCATTTGCTATTCTATTCTCCGTCTTACTCTTAATTCTTTCAATAATAACTCTACCCTACACTTTACCAGGTATACTCAATAGACTTATTCTCCTATAATTTTGCACACTCGTTTGTCCCCTTTGCCTTTATACAAAGGAACTATGCACACACTCTGCCAATCCCTCGGTACCTTACCCTCTTCCATACATTTATTAAATAATTGCACCAACTACTCCAAAACTATATTCCCACCTGCTTTTAACATTTCTATCTTTATCCCATCAATCCCAGCTGCCTTACCCCTTCATTCTACCCACTGCCTCACCAATTTCCCCCACACCCACAACTGATTCTTCCTCACTCCTACAAGATGTTATTCCTCCTTGCCCCCCTATACATGAAATCACAGCTTCCCTATCTTCATCAACATTTAACAATTCCTCAAAATATTCCCTCCAACTTCCCAATACCTATAACTCTCCATTTAATAACTCTCTTCTCCTATTTTTAACTCTCAAATCCATTCTTTTCCTAGGTTTCCTCAACTTATTAATCTCACTCTAAAACTTTTACTTATTTTCAACAAAATTTGTTGATAACACTTAGTAGGGCTGGTCTCAGACCAAGCCACAGACAAGATGATCCCCAGACCCTTCAAAAGAAGGAAATAAAATATTACTGGAGAAAAAATATTACTCTTAAGTAGTGGTGGGGATGTTGCAGTTAGAAGAACCATTTGAACTGTGACAGCATGATTCTGGGAAGACAGTGATTAAATTAATGGTAAAAAATATTTCCTCTTTTTTTTGGGTAATCTTACATCCTGGGAGATAGCCAATGTATTAAAAATTTATATAAAAAACTGCTAACTTAAAAGCACAGTATAAATTATAGCTTAAAACAAAACTGAGTCTTGACCTTATGAAACAATGAATGTCTACATCAGGGACCTTAGGGAACCCACCTGAAATATGGAACACCTACTGCCTACCTCTCCTAGCCTGTTCTATCTTGATTAATCAATTATTTACCATTTCAACCTCATACACTCTCCAGTCAATTTCTTTCTAAGCACTTTGAGGTCTATGCTGTAGTAGTATGGGTTTTAAGTCGGGGTCTGTGCCGTAGAACTACATGATGAGCTCAGCTCACTCAGATAAGCAGTGAGCAGAAAATTTGGGCAAAGATATAAGAGAATGGGTCTATGCAGTGATTGTACACCATATAAAAAAAACTGCCCCATGCAGTGCATAATGGGGAAAAAACTGTGACCGCGAATTTGGTTTTAAAAAGCAACTTTGCAATCTATTTTCAGATCTATTCTCAGTTTCTTGGTAGCGATTAATAGAATGGACAATATATCGCAGAAACAGAGATGATTTTGATTGGTTTCATGACTGGAAGTAGCTTCAAATCGAGCATAAAGTAGTGGAAATGTTTGATTTTTGCCGATATTCCAAATTACCTAACTTGTCCAATACGCGTCCAACTGGTCAGTTTAATATGTGTTCACAAATGTGCTGACACTATTTATACAATTATTACAATAATGTAGTATGAATAAAAATAAAAATGGAAAGCAAGTGTAATACAGGAGGGGCCATAAAGAGAGGAAATGTTTGACAATTTTTTTTAATTTTGTGTGAAACTGGCCAACTTACCAATTTCTGATTACTTTATCGGGTAGATGAAATAGGTAAATGGGCAGTTTCTTGCACTTAATAGTATCGAAGGAATACTGGTCAAATAGCTATGAGTTTTGTTGACTGGAACAATGGAATTGGCCTAAAATAGGACTCCAATTGGGTGAAATCGCCAATGCATGAATATCGACGAGTCTGCTAACTTTGAGAGAGCGTAATTCTGTAAGTTTTCCATCAAATTCCTTACTTTTGGCTTTTTTTACCTTCAGAAAAAAGATTCTCTATCATTTCATAAGAAAAAATATATATTTTCTTAAATTCTTGGACCCCGAGAATAATTCTGAGATCAGGAGTCTGGACCCTGAAAGGGTTAATTGAAATCTATGATTCAATGGAAGACCTCTATTATGAGCTATCAAGTTATTGTCCAGCTGCATTGTAAGAGTTAACAGTCTGGTTAATGTGCCCAACAAATGACAATGAAGAATCCAGGTAAACACCCAGACACTTTACTGGTCCAACACACTGCAAACTGACACCACCACAATCAAAGATAATAATAATAATAATAATAATAATAATAATAATAATAATAATAATAATAATAATAATTTTATTTCTTTATAAATGTTACGATGTGTAATTACAATTTCGATTTGCTAAGTACAAAGATAGCCACTATCATGCCGAGGCATTTTGGGCAAACTAATCCTAATATATAGTAACTAATTAAAACTAGATGGGTCTATGAAAGATGAGGTGAATCATAGAATTGATGAGGGGAAAAGGGTGAGTGGTGCACTTAGGAGTCTCTGGAGACAAAGAACTTTGTCCTTGGAGGCAAAGAGGGGAATGTATGAGAGTATAGTTTTACCAACGCTCTTATATGGGTGTGAAGCATGGGTGATGAATGTTGCAGCGAGGAGAAGGCTGGAGGCAGTGGACATGTCATGTCTGAGAGCAATGTGTGGTGTGAATATAATGCAGAGAATTCGTAGTTTGGAAGTTAGGAGGAGGTGCGTGATTACCAAAACTGTTGTCCAGAGGGCTGAGGAAGGGTTGTTGAGGTGGGTTTGGACATGTGGAGAGAATGGAGCGAAACAGAATAACTTCAAGAGTGTATCAGTCTGTAGTGGAAGGAAGCGGGTAGGGGTCGGCCTAGGAAAGGTTGGAGGGAGGGGTAAAGGAGGTTTTGTGTGCGAGGGGCTTGGGCTTCCAGCAGGCAAAGCGTGAGCGTGTTTGATAGGAGTGAATGGAGACAAATGGTTTTTAATACTTGACGTGCTGTTGGAGTGTGAGCAAAGTAACATTTATGAAGGGGTTCAGGGAAACCGGCAGGCCGGACTTGAGTCCTGGAGATGGGAAGTACAGTGCCTGCACTCTGAAGGAGGGGTGTTAATGTTGCAGTTTAAAAACTGTAGTGTAAAGCACCCTTCTGGCAAGACAGTGATGGAGTGAATGATGGTGAAAGTTTTTCTTTTTCGGGCCACCCTGCCTTGGTGGGAATCGGCAAGTGTGATAAAAAAAAAAAAAAAAAAAAAAAAGATAATAGTACATAGTAATTATTACTTAAAACTAAACATAGAATAGTG